CATACATACATACATAAACTTTATTTGAGTGTCGGAGTATTTAGCTAAAGATAACTAATTGGGGACACTGACACAAATACAAATATAAAACATAAAATAACGGTAGATCACAAGACCAGAGTTTACAAGGAAATACATCCTCCCCAATCCTCCCACCGATCTCCCTGCATTTCCACAGTGATTGTTTTCAGCAAACAGAAGATTAAACTCACCAGCCAAATGACGAAAAATTACTGGCCAACAACTTGAACCTCCTGCTAATGACATGGGAGTTTCTCCTCTGTGATCAGGTCGACGAACATCACCCCCCTTTCTGATTAACAACTTGAGACATCTGCCGTGTCCCTTCCACGCCGCAAGATGAACAGGCGTTCGACCGTCGTTTGGATCAACAACGTTTGGATCACCATCCGGCCAACTGAGCATGATCTTCAAACACTCGTCATGACCACCAAATGCGGCACAGTGCATCGGTGTATAGCCCGTCTGTGATTTCGAAGACGGAGCGTGCGAATCTCCGGTCTGGTTCGCGTGTTCATTTGTCATGAGTTGACCTACGAGCTGAAACTTCCCCGTACATGCGGCGTGGTGCAGATCTTTCAGATGATGTCGATTATTCTGTAGATGTTGAATTAAAGCGTGGGTATCGGAAAAGGACCTTCCACAATGGTTGCAGCTTTCGGGTACCCAAGATGTCTTGTGTTTTGGGCTGTTCTGTAAGTGTTGTATCAAACTCTCTTTTGAATCTTTTCCCGTAAATTTTCGACTACATTTAGAGCAGTAGTGAATAGCCCTTACGCAGGGCTCGTCCTTGTCGATGAACGGCATTTTCGGGCAAATAAAGAACAAGACAAAACCAAAACGTGTCACTAATTATAAATTAGTAGCTTCCACGGGTTGGCGTGTGGTTTCCGAGAATCTCGCGAACAGCTTTTTCGTGGAAATCATCGTTGTTCCCATTCTCTCGCGTTTCTCAACTTCGAGTAAAGAATGGAACGAGCGGGTTCCAGTCCAAGGTCACTGACTCTTTATCAGTACCGTTGTTTTCAGAGGTTTTCCAGTTCTTCCTTTATCTCGTTGTGGGCGCTTCGCGGATCAAAAAAGAAAAGAGAAGAAATCAAGAAGAAAGAAACTCCACTGCAAATCACAAAGTTACTTCCTGCCATAATTTCGTAGGTTTCTATCCTTCTGGCATCGATGACCTAGTGTTCACACTTCCCGTCTGACATTTTCACCCGGCATATACAATCGATAAATAGTAAAAACAATAACATTTGATGCTCCGTAGAAAACAAGCCAAGAAACTGATATGTTCTTGTTTAAGAGTTCTCTGTTCTAATGCGCTTTTCTTTTTCCGAGTCGTTTTTTAACTCATTGACACTAAAAAGCATCGTCTTTTCGAAAACCCAACGACCTTTACACTTGGTTAACTCTCATTCAAGACAAGCCTAAATTCTTTTGTAAGTATTAAAATTAACCTGACTAACCTCGTTTTTGAGTTGCTAATTCAAAAGAATTTTTACTCCCAAACGAGTTTAGCGAGGCTAATTCAAATGTGCACAAAATAATTTTAAATTGGCAGCCATTTATGAAAAGGGTCAATACCGTCACAAGGAAAATGCACAGTTACTGATATCAATCGAAACTGATGGTAATTTGATACTGCGAATTAAATGCACTCAATTTTCATTACCACTGAGCTTGTTAGTAAAATAGCTGTCACTCACGCGAATCACGCTTGAACGGCTCTTGTCAAAAGAGTTTGATCCGACGTTTAATACATTAGACAGAGTTTTCTCTCTCATAACTGAGTGATCACTGATTCGACATGATAAAGTGTCCTACAGCTAAATTTAGCCTTTTCCTCGGTCAGCCAAAATTTTGTCGACCTGGTGCTATGGAATGCGTTCAGTGTAGTCGCCAACTGCAGACGCCATTGTGCAGTCTGTTTATATGCGTCTATGTAGACGTATTCAACAAAACAAAGCAGTCCTTAGACATGTTATCAGCCGCACCAATCAATGCAATCACGCACCAGACACAAGATAAATTTACATGATTTTTTCTGTTTCTGGTTTCAATTTTCATGTCTCATTTCCTTACCAGGTCTCCTGAAGTGGCAAGAGAAGGAATCCACGGGGGATAACTCGTACAACAGTTATATGTTATTCGCTTTTTACCGGCTGGAAAAGTTTGCGACAACTGCAGTGATCGCTTCGGGAATTTGCTCATCGCTTATTGAAGACTGTTAAGCTTCCTGTTTCAGCCCCGAGGGTACCTGGGAACTGCGCTGCGACGCGGAAAGAACCTCAAAGGACGTGAAGTCTTCTCAGCAACATAAAATGGATCCGATCAAGCTTTGCTCCATTCTTTCCGTGATGTTTGGGGCCACATCTTTCTTGGTTCTCGTTGTAGCTTCTCAAGTATCGGAAGGTAAACTAAGTTAACGTCTGTTTCCGCAGGAAGTTGCTTGCGAGCACGGAGTATGCTTGTGCTCCATTGCTCACACTTTCAACTAGTTTCGTTCCTGTAATCTCGATGCTTTGCCTTTCCTTTTTTGGCTAACGTAGCTAGTAAGGAGTTTCGTCGTCTTTTCAATTTGCTAATCAGATGTTCAGATGTTCCATTAAGGTTTCAGCAAAAGCTTGCACAAAATCTCAAACTGTAATTAGATTCTGATCAATCAACACAACAGGGCAGAAGCTGGCCTCTATGGCGCATCAAAACAAGCGTCAAAGGTCAATTCCAAATTATTTATCGTGGTGAAATGATAGCTGTGTGAAGAGAATAGTTCTAATGACTATTTATCCGTGATTTGTTTCCTTAAAGTTATTAACCGATTGGACAATACCGAGAATGAGGGATGATTTAAACTGACTGTTTAAAGATAAAGACATGTTATTAAAAATACCAGGCAGGCTGGCAGAGTGTCTTTAACATAGTCGCCAAATATATGAATTATTTGATATATGTAAGTATTACTTCCCACATTCTCGAATCCTTCACTAAGGCCAAGTTACACAATTAGCATAACTTACTGCCAATAAGGAAGTGAAATAACCATTTCAGCAAAGAAGAATGCGTCACAGCGCAAGAATAGCAACGACAACGTCGCTAATTAAAACAAAAGATTTAAAGAACACTTTAAAATGAGTTGGAACATTTCTATGCCGTTCTCTGCAAAATTCCAGCGACGAGTAAGGACCAAAATCTGCGATAGGTTGCGATACGCGAGAACCTCAAAGACGAAGTTAAATTCCTTTTATGACTAGACCTCTCTCTTATATAGATACTTCGGTATTGGGATAGCTCTGGCCGTAATGACCCGGTGATAAAAAACTAAATGAATCTTCATTATCACGAGACTCATACGAAAACTATAATTTTCTTTTTTTTAAAATAGACATTACCGTCGACGTGACCATTTTGGTTGTTTGAAACTCCTTACTAATACAATGAACAAAACTTATGCACCTCACGGTGCTGTGTCCATTCATGTCTAGCAGTGACTACTTTCTCGAGTGTTTATTTTGGCTGAAAACCATCTTACCGTGAATGAATTAATTTCCTTTGTACTGTATTCTAATTAACTGCCCGCTGACTGTCGCAGCCTGAAAGTATAGGAATATAGCCTGCAGGTGTATTCTGTTGTATTGGAAGAATATTATCACTTCTGTATTAGGTCACTTTACGATTTTCTTTTTTCTACCATCGTGTGATCCTTCACCTTGTGCCAGTAACATCCGTTACAACAAGCAAATTGATCACTGAACCAAAAACTGTTAAGATGACGTTTGCTAAGAAACCGAAAACGAATAAACACAGACTCAAAAAACAAAATAAATGAATAAAATAAACGTTATTCCATTTTAAAAGGAAGGTACACTATCACAAATCTGGTACAATTTGTTGTAGAACGTCATAGACTGAAAAGTTGTCTGGGTTGAGGTTGTTTTTGTGTAGGCTCCAGCCACTTGTTGCATTTTTTACATCTCAGTGTCAGATACTGCTCTACTTCGGCTGAATCTGGTAACTGGCCTCCTCCCTCCCCTCTCAAAACCTCGCGCCCTCCCCACTTCCGTGTCCATGCTCCCCTGCAATTTGTAGCTTCTTCAGGTAGAAAGCACAATAAGCGCTACAACTTAGACAGGTAATGCAACCCACCCTTTCCGACCGCGGTATATTTTATTTTTTACGATTTTTTTCTTTTTTACAGTAACGCTATTGTTGTTTTCACCATCTCTATCTTTATTACCATCAGTTTCAGTATCTCTATCTCCATCTCTATCTTAATTTCTATACATCAAGGAGGCGGCGTGGCAGAGTGGCTTAGGGCAGTGGATTTGAAATCCGGCATGGAGGTCCCTGGTTCAAATCCTTTACCCTAACGCTATCTGGATTTCTTATCAGTAGTCCTGAGTTCAACTCCTCGACCGCGTGATCTGTAAAAAGTCCACTGATCAACATTCCCCCAGTTGGGATTCTAAATAATTTATGTTCTATTTCTAATATTTACTTTTTTACTTACAGTGCTTCCTATTAGTAAAAAGTGCTAAATACATTTGACACTTTAGTATAAACAATACTTGGTGACACCTACACCAACGAATTAAGGAACACAAAGGATCGGCCGTTGGAAACTGCCTAATAGAGCAACATGATAGGAAGGAGCAAAGTTTTAAAATTTGAGGAAGTTTCAGAACAAATTGGACTGTCTTATTAGTTTTTCTCTTTATCAAAGAACTAAAGCAATCACTGAACTGACAGTGTGATTCAATTCGCGCTTAATTTTTTGTTTAGTCCCCTTTTTAGCTTCATAAATATTTTACCACTTATCTTACACATTTTATTGCATTCTACCGTTCGTGATATTCTTAACTATATTTTTAATGTCAGAAACATATTTGCGCCTATTTTAGTTATTTTTACTCGCACTTGAAAATGACCTCGGAGAGGTCGAAATGTGATTTTTTATTGCTAGGTTTTATTACAAAATCGATCTCAAAGAAATTACTCATCAAGACTTAAAATAAAGTTATTTATTATGTATTCATTTATTAATTCTTTTATTATTTACTTATTTATTTATTTATTTATTTTTCCATCAGCATCATCTTCATCTCCATCTCCATCTCCGTCAACGTCAACACCTCCTCCTGAATCAACATCAATATTACCATCTCCGTCTCCATCTCCATCAACGTCAACACCTCCTCCTCAATCAACATCAACATTACCATCTCTGTCACCGTCAACACCTCCTCCTGAATCAACATCAATATTACCATCTCCATCTTCATCTCCATCAACGTCAATACCTCCACCTCAATCAACATCAACATTACCATCTCTGTCACCGTTAACACCTCCTCCTGAATCAACATCAATATTACCATCTCCATCTCCATCTCCATCAACGTCAACACCTCCACCTCAATCTGCATCAACATTACCATCTCTGTCACCGTCAACACCTCCTCCTGAATTAACATCAATATTACCATCTCCATCTCCATCTCCATCAACGTCAACACCCCCTCCTCAATCAACATCAACATTACCATCTCCATCTACATCTCCATCAACGTCAACACCTCCTCCTCAATCAACATCAACATCAACATCAACATTACCATCTCCATCTACATCTCCGTCTCCATCTCCATCAACGTCATCACCTCTCCCTGAATCAACATCAGCATTACCATCTCCATCTACATCTACATCTCCATCAACACCTCCTCAGTCGACATCGGCATTACTATCTTTATCTCCATCACTTCCAACACCTCCTCCTCAATCAACATCAGCATTGCGATCTCCACCTCCGTCACCGTCAGTGGCTCCCTCTCAATCACCAACAGCATTACCATCTCCACCTTCATCTCCTTCAACGTCCGCACCTCCTCCTCAAGCAACATCTGCATTACCATCATCACAGTCAGTATCATCAATATCACCTCTACCTCCATCCCCTTCACCATCTTCATCACCGTCAGCACCTTCTCAATCAACAGCATTACCATCTCCATCACCATCCCCACGAGCATCGTCAACGTCATCACCATCATCTTTTCCATCTTCGTCACTATCAGCATTATCATCTACAGCTCCGTCTTTAACATCATCACCGTCACCATCTCAATCTTTATCTCTTTCTCCATCAGCATCATTATCACGATCTCCATCATCAAAAATTTTGTTGCCATCCTCGACTACAACTCCTGCGCAATCAACGACGGGACCGTCCACAACACCGTCAACAGGTAAGGATAATTAATGAACATATAGCACTAGAAAACAGCACTATATATGTTACATCAGGAAGACTAACACGTTCTAAAAACAAACGGGATATTATAAAACGCAATTTCTGAAACAAATAAAGGAAATCGGCTTTTTTTCCAGATAAAATTAACAAATCTGGCATAAAATGCCCTTTTTGGCTATTTTTTTTGCCAGAGTGGTAAATATTTTGGCACAATTTTGCCATGAGAATTGAAAATGTTAGCTGGTAAGAAATGAGTAAATAACTGAAAACTTTACCAGGACCGGAGCTTTGAAGACAGCTATGGTAAAAATGTCACGAAAAGTTAAGATTTT